TCCAATATCCTGAGTTTAAAGCCTTAAGGTCCGTTCACACAATTTTCAAATGGTACCCGGTGGGCATTCGGCACTGTTGACGCGTGAACGCACCTTTTCACGGTGGCGCGCATTGCACTTCACTATCTGCCATCTATATTCGTAAGGCCTCGAAAGTGCATACGGATATTTTTATCTATCTTGGACTGTGATAAGGTGCAGTCCGTATGCACTTGTTTACCCTTATTCAAGGATAGGCACGCGTTACGCGTATGTACGTCGGGCGCGTGGCTCACGTGGGTATACGTAGTACGCGATTGTAACAGCTGATGGGTTTTATATAGACGTTAAACTTTCCACTGGCCTATTCGCGCTCTGATTGGTCGCATTCTTCTTAAGAGCTACTCCCATTGGCTCCTTACTCCGTCACGCGGTATCGTCTTCTCTTCTTTCCCCTGGCCTCCTCGTGTCGCTCAGTTATCGCCACGCACTTCCTTTCCGTTACGTTCACTGTCTGCACGAGAACTTTCCGTATCCCCTAGCGGCTCGGTTCCTACTCGATGGGATTCCACTGGCATTTCACGGCGACACGGCTGGGACTGACAGTCGGCCATGACGCCTCGCCGGTCTACCGACCGCGTGCACCTGCCTTCGACAATGGAGACTCGATATTGCCATTCATACGATACAATGCTATCGGTATGAGGCATGGTGAATTATTTATCAGGTTTTTTTTATTTAACAAGGCTGCTTCGGCCGTTTCATCCTGCGCTTATCTAAGCATCTACGAATACCTTGAATGGGGGTCGCGCACGTACAGCTCAAATTTACGGATGGTCCACGTTTCAATCGTACGTTCTATCGATCCGTATTCGTCTTGCCGGTGCTGTGAGAACGTCGATTAAACGTCGAGGGAAGAAGATTGGCTATTCTCTAGGGTTTTCATGGCGATCGGACTTATTGCCCGCTCGTATGTATCTGCAGCTATCTCTTTAAAGTGCATATGCATATTTATACCTGGTTAACGTAGCCCCGTGCTATTGTTCGTCGGCGACGCACGCGATTCACCTGGAGGAAACGAAGGGCCGATAATTAACGTAGGTGGCACCCTGTTGCATGGCTGCACCAGCTACCCCCCACTTTGTAAACTGTATGCACTGTATGTACGAGTTGAACGTACGTCGTATCGTGATACTTCTCACTGGTGCATGTACGGCTATGTATCTACATACGTGTCGTATGAGTATGCTGACGTACGCGGCTCGTCACGTGAAATCTGAGAGTAATAAACAGTTTGCAGCTGTTGCAGAAAATTCTTTCATACTCGTATGTCCCACCTGTAAGATCATCCTGGTGATATTGCATATATGGTTTTTTTTTTTTGAAAAATTTTTTGTTCGTCATTTTGTTCATCGAATGGTTTTACGTATTTTACGGGGAAACAAAAATCGGAGGAGCTTGTACGTACGTATACATGGGGATGGCTAGGGGTATTTAAAATTTTACGGTAAACTCATCTCGAGAGAATTCCGGCCACCACGTTGTCCGTCCATCGGACTATATGCCGAGGTCCCAGCAGTTTGTCCTTGTTAACTATAAACTAGTTAGACGGAAGTTAAGCCAAAGCTTATTCATGTAAATGCTCTCCCGGCACTTCTACTGATGCTAATTCAATAATCGATAACGACACACCGCACGACGGATGGGTTACACGAGTCCGAATGGCCTGTTATGGACGCCGTCGGAGATTGATCGAATCGCAGCGATGATGGAAACTTTCGTGTTTGTTGTATTGAAAATTCTCTGGAAGCTTCTAGAACATTCGTAGAAGCTCCCGACTCTTTTATCTTTTGTCCGACCGTGCGGTGTATAACTCGTAAAAAAGGTTCTTCATAGTTCTTAGTAAGCTCGCACAATTTCTGGACAGTTTCGAACCGGTTTCGTATCCTGTGGGAAGAGCACAAGCTGCGCGACAGTTTTCTACTTGCTCGAGGTATATATATATATAGTCTCCGTGTCTGTTCCTATGTAAAGCAGGTGCATCCCTTGGCGGCAGTTGCGCTGCATTTGCAGGTGAATCTCGTTGCAGCTGTCCAAGTATCCAAGAAAGGGAGGTTAACGTGCGGTACGAATAGGTATAAAGAAAGCAAGAGAAGCTCGAGATGAGAAAGAGAGAGATCTTCTCTGTTGAACCAAGCAGAGAACGTACCTTGTCGATACGTGTGGACGGTACTTTAAGGTCGTAGGGTGTCGTAGCTTGCAGTATTGGCCTCAATATACAGGTCCTTACAAAAGTTTCGGGACTCTCGGTAACCATCCCCCTTTTATTTTTCGCCTTTCTGCTTTGAAGTCACTGAACGGACGACGGACTGCTTAGATAAGGATTTTTATCGATTTTTCTTTTTTTTTTTTTTTTTTTTTTTTCGTTTTTCTTGCCTTTTTCTATTTATTTTTTTTTTTTTTTTTTTTTTTTTTTTTTTTTTTTTTTTTCGTTTTTCTTGCCTTTTTCTATTTACTATACCTCGCGTGTCCCACGCTCACTCGCTCGATATCTTTTTCACGATTTTCAAACGCTCTGTCTTACACGCTAGCCAGATACCAACCCCCTGTGCACGGGACTTGGCTACAGGGTCTTTCAAAAGATACTTGACTTTGAAATTTTTTTTTTTTTTTTTCATTTCCTTGCCTTTCAACATCTGAATTACAGATAAACAATGACTCTTATTTTTGGTCCAGTACGTGATTCGGTGGATGCTGGTCACGACTCTTACCCTTGTATAAGCCTGTACACGCGTGCCGATATATCGTGCATTATTACAGTCTCCATATGGACGCGCTCTTCATTGCCAGTATAAAGAAAAGTAAACGCCATCCAACCAGGAGAGTATTACGGGTGTCAGGTGCACCGTGAATTATTTCTATAACGTTTGCGGTGACGCGCATGCGCGTTCTATATTACGTTATTTATTAAATCTCAAAATTTTGTCTAAGCTTTTACGGGGCACTTTCCGGCACTGGTCTCCTGATACCACGGTAACATTTCTTTCGCTTTATTTACCTGTAACGATATGTACCAGCCACGTGGCTGGTATACCTATATATACGCTCGAGTGCGAATACGTCAAAGGGCACGTGGGTCGCTGCGACTGCCTTTGACTTTTAGATTCTCAAATTGACAATTAAAGGCACACCGGGTATACACGCGGAGACACTTTGATATACACTTGGTAGCCTTTAATCATTTTCAAATGGTCGTTAACTTCTTTTTTCTCTTCTACTCGTCGTCATTGACGAGCATCAAAATTCTCTTACGAGTCTCGATCTCTACCGAGTTCTCATGGACGCGACAAGTCCGTGGCGCCTTGAACCCACGTTACACGGTGCTTCCGTTGTATGTAAATATTTGAGGCGATAGCCTCCTGAGGCCGCCATCTTTGTTCGGGGGTCCTTTATGCGCAATGGGACGGGAAAATCGTCATATGTGCGCTGCCATTACGTTTTAAGTGCGAGAGAACGACGAGCGACGTAAGTTGTCGCTGCGGTGAAAATCAACACGTGTCTCTTCGCCTGAGCTTGATTAAGCGTCGCGTTAGCGCCGTAACGAGCGACACGAAACGAGCGAGCGACGAGTTTCACGAGCAAACCTTAAACTCCTTTCGGCGACATTTAATTCGTCGCGCAATTGCGAATTGCCCGAACGTATTCACGTAGACGTCTAAATATTAGTACGTACTGCCGACTAGCGGATTGTCAAGTGACTAATTATCCGCGTAAACAAAAAGCGTACGTAGTACTTTATTGATTTATCGTCGCTTCATGGAGATTAACCCACTGACGTTGAGTTTTGAATTTTATGCGTTTCCACGATATTACACTTTGCCCTGTATTTTTGTGTATATTACGTATTACGTTACACATATATATATATATATATATACATACATGTGTGTTGCCGTATTTACATGAAGGCAAATTTTAATAGAAATATTTTTAATATTGCTTATTGGCATTCTAATGTGTTTCAGACGATGACGCTCGGCGTCGCGACGCCTTGAAATTCGTGACATTAAAAGGATTCGCGCGACACCGATTTCTCGAAATTTGAATTTCTGATTTTCTTAAAGCGAACATTTCGCATTCGCTGTTTTGCCTCGTCCTCGTGTAATGTATATATATATATATATACACGCGTGATACTGCAAAGTCCAATGAGACCCAGGTGAAATAACGTTACGTCGCGCGGGACAAGTGAGACGTCGAAAGCGGATGGAGGAGACGAGATAGGGTCAGAGGGCGCAGCCCGCGTACCGGAAGTCAAAGGCAAATCCCAAGGAAGCGAGCATCGGGTTCTTGTGCTCTTTTCTCGCACCCTAGCAGTCACGAGGATGCTAATTAGCTCGTACATATTTCCAACACGTGAAGGGCTCGTCTCTCCGGTGTCCCAGTACTTCTGCTACGGCCACTTGTATTTGTTTATTTTTTTCATCTCCCTTTCCCTGCTCGTCCCCGCCTCTTGACTTTCTCATCTCCCGGGTCTCTTATGTCCCGGACCGTTATCGAGGGTAACCGAAGAAGGGTCCGGTCCACGTGTGACGTCATACGTGGGACCGGGACGGTCGCGATCGCAGGGTCTATCTTTTTATCGGTCGACCTGTTGCCTGTCGGGTAAATTGATTGCTGAAGAAATAATGATACCTGGGACACGGGCAAGCTTATGCTGGATTGCGTAACGCAACTTTAATTACTCATCGAAATTCATTAACACTCGATCTGCCTATTTGATGTCGTTTAACTCGTACGTCATTTACTGTGTGCGTGTGTGTGTGTATATATATATATATATATAGGTAGGAATATATTATACGGGTTAATATGCTCACCCTGACGCTTTCCGGAAATAGGTACGTTCATTGTCCTGAAAACTTATGCCGGGTTCACAAGACTTTCCGCGTTCGAGTTTGCCGCTCTACGTGGACGGTGCGGTTCAAGGTCTGAACTGGACATTGACTTTCTGATTTCAGGGCCGTCACGGATCCGAGGGACGGCAGAAGAGTGGCCTTGAAGAAACTGCCGAACGTCTTTCAGAGTCTCGTCAGCAGCAAAAGAGTCTTCAGGGAGCTGAAGATGCTCTGCTTCTTCAAACACGAGAACGTCAGTAATTTTTACACTGCGATACTAATTTATTTCACGTGGATACGCATCGAGGTATCTTTCCCGAGACCTACTTGGGACACGCGAGTGGGTTCTGTTGGCGGGATAATTTGCAGTAATTTTTTTTTTCTTTTTTTTTTTCTATCGAATAAATAATATTTTTCATTCGTCACGTACAAGATTTGAATTCGCCTGTATAAGCGAAGTCGGTGGTAGACTGTGACAATTTCTCGGGTGAAATTGTGCATATGAAGTTAATCGCGTTATTAATTTTAGCAATGTGATATATTCTCGTGTACTAATGGTCTATGTGAAGTCTGTGCTTTCTCGTATCTATGGGTTGGGTTAGGTTAGGTTGCGAAGCTCGTAATATCGTTTGGTATGCGAAATCCGTTCGTGAGAACCGGGACTTGAATATACATTATATACTTGTAGATAGTATATGTATATTAATATATACATTGCTATATGGAATTAAAGAAAGTTTTTCTATCTAATACTAGCTATGGTATAAAATATTGATACACTATCTCTAGTAATATTATATTACTTGCCACTATACGTACCATTCCTACTGTGCATACTTAGTATCATCCTGTACTAGTAATACCGGTATGGTACTACCGCCGGACTCTTCCTCTGGTTATTTCACCGGTGAACGATCCCTCATCTCACAAGCCCGTTCACCTTCTTCCCATCCTTGATCCAAGATCGGTACGAGCAGATCAATCGGATCCTGGCACTTTCACTTTCTAACAAAAAATCATTCCGTCTGATTACAGGTACTGTCTGCTCTGGATATCCTGCAGCCGCCGCATCTCGACTTCTTCCAGGAAATGTATCCTTTTTCATTTTTTTTTTTTTTTTTTTTTTTTTT